ACACACACACACACACACACACACACACACACACACACAGTATCTGAAGTAAATGTACAAAATGTGTATCCTAGTTAACCATTCTGTATTCTCTATTACAAAAAAAAATTATAAAAGGAAAACAATAAATATTTTATTCTTTTTGTTGGTGCGGGGTCAGTACCAGGGATTGAACTCATGGATACTTGAACCCCTAAGACATATCCCTAGCCCTATTTTATATTTTATTTAGGGTCTTAATGAGTTGCTTAACACCTCGCTTTTGCTAAGGCTGGCTTTGAATTTGTGATACTCCTGCCTCAGCCTCAAACCACTTACAGGCGTGTGCCACCGTGCCCAGCAAACATTTTACTCTTAAAACAACAACAACAACAAAAAAAAACTGTGGGTCAATAATGCCAAGCTGCATATTCAGAATATATTTTGAAAAAATCATGGTACATCTTCCAAATAAATTTCAGACTAGGTGTTTCTTTTGTATGCACAAAAAATTTTTAGATGACGAGGTTATTGAAAGACACAAAATAAAAACTGCACTGAAAAGTCCTTGTTAATATAGTTTTCTAAATTAAAGAATAAAATAATTTCCCTAAAATGTGAAAACATACTTAGTCCCACAGTTTTGGATGAAATATAACATTCCACATATCTAATTCTCTAAATAAAAATATTAAAATATACAACATAAGATTTTACTGTAAAGACTGTTGAGAAAGTATGTATGATCCTGGTTCCCACTTAGATTCCCTCAGATTAAAGAAAAGTAACTTAATTATCTGGCTTTAGTAATTATTTCCATGCTATGCACATAACCCAAACATATATAACAGTACTTGTTATAAAATTTCTTACATTTTAATACTTACTCTTAATAAATCATCTATTCTTCCTTCTTTCTTCTCTAAGTCAGAATTCTTACTATTTTCTAGTGCAGATATTTTTTCTATTGTGAGGTCAGACTACAGAGACAAAGGCAATACAAATTTAGGATTAGTCTCAAAATAATACATGTCAACACATTTGACTCATTACTTTTCTGCAAAAAAGTATCTGCTTACAAAAATGGCCTATAATCATGTGGCTCAGGATATTAAATTCACTTTCCTCATCCCAATCTTCAAATCTTAACTATAGGTTCCTAAAATCTCACTACACCAGCATGTCAAAACTCAAGCTAACACTGGAATCAAATATGAAAATTCTCAAAACTACTATGCATTGAATAAAATAGAAATGCAGTACTCTAGAAATGAAATGAATTAAATAAAAAGACTCAAGGGCTGGAGTTGTGGCTTAGCAGTGGAGCGCTCCTCTAACACGTGCAAGGCCCTAGGTTTGAACCTCAGCACCACATAAAAATAAAGGTATTGTGTTCGACAACAACTAAAATAAAATATTTATTTATTTATTTATTTATTTATTTATTTTTAAAGAGAGAGTGAGAGAGGAGAGAGAGAGAGAATTTTTGATCTTTATTTTCTAGTTCTCGGCGGACACAACATCTTTGTGTGTATGTGGTGCTGAGGATCGAACCCGGGCCGCACGCATGCCAGGCGAGCGCGCTACCGCTTGAGCCACATCCCCAGCCCCTAAAATAAAATATTTAAAAAAAAAAAAAAAAAAAGGACTCAAAGGGCAACTTGACCAAAAATCTCTAAGGAACAAACATGCCATCTAGTGGAAATAGGGAGCAATCAGAAGGGGAAAAGTCTATTTAACCATCTAGATGCTGGTGGTTCAAATAAAATTAAACTCCACAGGGTCACATAAGTTTTAAGATAAGAAATTCTAGATTGCTAGGCATCCCGTCTTGAAAGCAACAGAGTGCCAAAAGAGGCTGCAAGAACACCCAATATACTACTGGTTAACTCAACACTAGAAATGGAGGATATATCTACTATACTTTTCAGATACAATTGTTAAATGTTCACAACATTCTCTAAATTCTGAAGACTGTTTTTCGAGGAAATTATATTGGTATAGCACAACTTAAGTTTAGCTCGGTCTTGCAAGGGAAGTAAAGGAATACATATATTGACTAGTTCCAGAAAGTAGGTAATTATATTTATCAAAAATATACTGTAAGCACTTTCCTAATAAGCATTTTGTAAACATTGTCTGAGGTAATAAGGATCAACCACATTTTACAGATAATTTCTTCTAAAGAAGCTGCGGCCCAGAAAGATAAAGTATAAGCAGCAGAACCAGAATTGGAACCCAAGCCTCCAGACCTCAAAGTGTATACTCTTTCCATGCTGAAGTAAAACCATTTCTGCTACAATACCAGAAAGGTAAAGAAAAGCCTCAAACAGCTAATGCACATTTTACAAAAACTTTAAATACTCATAATGCAAATTCTGAATATAATGCACACAAGAGATACAGTCAAAGATGTAAGGAGAAGATCAAGTGAGGAATCACAGATTTTCTACATGTTTAGGTTTACTTCTAAGCAGAACTTCTCCACTGTTTATCAACCCCCAACCTACCTGGGTCTGTCTGTGCTGGATGGAGATCTGCTTTTGAGAGCTGCAGGAATGCTCTGTGTTGCCAGATCCTGTGGAAGAGGGACTGTTTTGCTGAGCCTATAATAAAGGTATATCACCAATCACAGAAAGGCTTGGCAGCTTTCTCCACAAACATTTTTATGAATACAATTACTTCTATATAAAATAAATCCTATCTGATAAAAGTCAGAAGTCAGGTGTGCTGGGGTTGTGGCTCAGAGGCAGAGCACTTGCCTCACACAGGTGAGGCTCTGGGTTCAATACTTAGCACCACATAAAAATAAATCAACAAAATAAAGATTTAAAAAAAAAAGAAGAAGAAGTCAGGGCCACAAGGTTAAGGCGAAAGCAAAACAAGTTGAATGAGATACAAGGGCTAGATATGGTAGCTTAAGACTATATTCCTATAAACAGGTTTTATTTTTATTTAATTAATTTATTTTTGAAGCCTGGGTCTCTCACATGGTAGGCAAGCACTCTACTACTGAGCTATACCCCAAACCTTGTAAATAGGTTTTAAAGTATCAAATACTTACAAATGAATTTTTTAAATGTTTAAGTTACAGAAATGAACAGTTCCTTCATGGGCGCTCTCTCGTCCATCGAGGACGTCCACAGAACAGGGTAGAGGAGAATGTGGCTGCAGAGTCGCTAATCAAGACCTCCAGAGAACCAAGCAGGAAACAGGTCTGATTTTATTGCGCAGTTACCATGTATATATACTCAGGCAGTAGCTAAGCAGATTACAGGCAGCCACCAATGCAATTTTGGCTAACTGTCCTTGCAGTGACCAATTGAGAAGTGGGCCATGGAACAAGTGCAGGGACTAGAACACATGGCCTCACGCCTAGGGCTGTGCCTACAGGGTATGCAGCCTGCCACTCAGATGCCCTTGACATATGCCATGCATACAGTACTCCATGCACTTGTCCCCACATTCCTCCAATAATTATTTGCTCTTTTCACTTATGTTTCAACATGTCTTTATCAGAAAAGGCAAGTGAAACATCCAATGCATAGGGGATACACATGAGTACAGACAGACAGGACTACAAACTATTATTCAGAAAACTCTCTAAATACACCAATATTATCCATAAACACTATGTGTATAAAACTTTAGGCTTTTGTCCAATATCCTCACTTGCTAACTGAACATTCTAAAGCATCTTTATTATTTATTTATTGTAGCACTAGGGATCAAACCCAAGATCTCAGTCATGCTAGGCAAACACTCTACCACTGAAATATAATCCTGTTATGGCTGTAATCCCAGTGACCCTGGAGGCTGAGGCAGGAGGATTTTGAGATCAACCTCAGCAACTTAGTGAGACCCTGCCTCAAAGCAAACAAACAAATAAATAAATAAATAAAAATAAGTAAAAAGCGCTGGTGAGTGTGGCACAGTGGTTAAGTCTTTGAATTATTGCTCTTACTCATTATTATATTAATAGTAATATAACCATTTATTGAGTAATAAGTATACGCTACATGCTTCAAAGTCATTGTACATGTAACCCTTACAAAGTATTATAAGTTATTTTTTATTATTTCCATTTTACAGATAAAGAATATACAAATCAGGGCTGGGGTTGTGGCTCAGTGGTAGAGTGCTCATCTAGCACGTTTGAGGCCCTGGGTTCGATCCTCAGCACCACATAACAAACAAAATAAAGGTATTATGTCCAACTACAACTAAAAAATAAACATTAAAAAAAAGAATATACAAATCAGCTGAGCACTGTAGTACATGCTCTTAATTCCAGCTACTCAGGAGAATGAGATAGAAGGATCATGACTTGAAGACCAGCATACACAACTTTAGTAAGACCCTGTTTCAAATTAAAATGGGCTAGGGATGTAGTTCAGTAGTAGAACCTGCCTAGCATGTGGCAAAGCCCCAGCTTTAATCCCTAATATCACCCAGAAAAACAAAAAAACTACATATATACAACATTAATAAATATATCGATATATTATTAATAACTATCAATTATTAAATAATTAAATGTATTGATAAATATTAATATTTACATATAACTATGTAAGATCACAGAGCTAGTAAGTGGGGGAACTAGAATTGGAGGCTGTCTGCATCCACAATAACTGCTCTCAATCACCAGAGCAAACTATTACAGCTAGGTGATAAGTAAGCTAATGAGTTCCTACACATTATTTCATGGAAGTATCACTACAGTCTTTTAAGGAGGGCAGTATAACTAACCCAATTTTTATTTCTTCATTCACTGACTATTTATAGAGTAGTCCCTTTATCTAAGCACTGTGTTGGGTTCTTGTGACACATGGCCGAAGAAGATGAACATAAACCATCGATCCTTATTTTGCCTTAATGAAACTTAAAAATGAAGAGAAGATTTAATGAATACTCAAATATGGGTGCAAAGAAACTGTTGAAAGAACAATTGTAACAAATGCAAAATTACAATTAGGAGAAGTACTTTAACACCACACAACAGGATATGAAAGCTAATCTAGAATAAAGGGGTTGACTTGAAAAAGCTAAAGATCTGAAGGTAATCAGAGTCAAAGACAGGAGATGATTGAGTCATTCCAGAACATGGAAGAAGATGCTAGGAAAAGAGAAAAGATTGATATGGGGTTCAGAGAAGGTAAAAGAGAGGAACTCACCTCAAAGAGGCTGTTAAACAACTTGTGCAGCCAGTAAATGTCAGAATTGTGATTAAAAGCCAGGTCTATGTCATTCCAAACAACTAAAAATTATCTGTACCCTTTCTAAACTTCAGCAAAACCAACTGTTTCTTATTGATTAGGAGTCATCATTAAGCACCTTAAGTATTACACTGCAAGTATTACAAGACAAGTATTGTCTCCTTCGGTTATCATTAGATTGCTTCTTACAATCTTTTATTTTCCTATTTGTTTTTAAATAAATTTGACTGAACTAAAGGGCTCGTCTATAAATTTCTAGATTTTGATAGGGAGACTTTGCTAAAATGCTCATTTTCGAAGTTTTCTTCCAGTAAACTGATAGTACTAAAATATGATTTAGTGGGATACTTCTAAAATCTTTCTGTAAAAATATGGATGATAAGAAGTGTAAAAGTTAACTGAGGAAGTGGGCTACAGTTGTTAGGAAAGCAAATCCAAATGAAAGTAATGTTTTTAAAAGGTAAAAGGTATATACAAATATAAAATCCTAATGTGACAACATGAACCAATAATGGAGAAAATGCTCTAATTTTGAGCACTTGTTTTATATTAATTGTGGATCTCTATGCCAAGTCCTGTGTTAAATACCAGAAATGCAAAACTGAAAAACAATAGCTTCCACTTTCCCACCAAGTCGTTTCAGAATAATGTCCTAGGACAATGATAACACAATCTGCCTAGTTAGCCTGGTGCCATTGCAGCTATGAATTAAGCAGAGTTCCAATACTCTATTAGGCTTTCCAGAGAAAACAGAAGAAAAGAATGAGACAGTAAAATAAAATTTTTCTAAGATAAAAAGGGAAAATTTTAGAGTAAAACATCTACTACATGGCAAGCACTATTAATGGGAAAATAAAATAGTGGGTAGACTTCAGAGACAAAAAGATACCATGATTTAAATAAATGTAGAAAAAGCATTCAAGACTCTTTCATGTTAAAAACATTTAACAAACTCAGACTAAAGGAAACTTAACCCCCCAAAAGGGTCATCTTTGAAAAATACAGAGTGAACATCATACTTATTTTCAAAGACTTCGTGCTTGTGCTAAGAGCTGAAACAAGACAAGACTGTCTATTCTCACTTGATCTTAGCCAAAAGGCCGAGAAGCGATGAGACTGTCTATTCTCATAACTTATATTCAATGATGTACTTGAGTTCTAGCCAAGACAATTAAGTAAGAAAACAAAATAAAAGCACCCAGAATGAAAAGCATGTAAAACTGACTATTTTCAGATGAAACAATTTTATATGAAAAAAATCCTTTTAAAAAAAAACTACCAGAATTAACATATAGACTTCAGCAAGATTGTAGCATACAAGATCGACATTAAAAAAACTACTGTGGGCAGGAATATAGCTCAGTTGATAAAGTGCTTGCTTCACATGCACAAAGCCCTGGCAACACACACACACACACACACACACACACACACACACACACACTCACACAGACTGTATTTCTATCCTCTTAACAATCACCAATCTGAAAATTAAATTAAATGGATACTATTAAAATACAAGTAATCAAAAAGGATACTTAACAAAAGAAGTGCAAAATCTAGATGTTTAAAACTGTAAAACATGATAATGCACACCTGTAATCCCTGAGACTGGGGAGGCTGGAGCAAGAGGATCACAAGTTTAAAATCAGCCTGAGCAAGTCAGAATCTGCCTCAAAACAAAAACTCAAAAAGGGCCAAAAATTTAGCTAAGTAAAGTCCTTGCCTGGCATGCATTAGCTCTGGGTTCAACTCCAGTTACTAGGAAAGGGGGCGAGGGGTGGGAGTTTTGGTGAGAATGTAGAGAAATTAGAATATACTGCTGATCAAAATATAAAATGGTCCAGCTACTGTGAAAAACAGTTTGGTAGTTCTTCAAAAATATACTATATGACCAACAATTTCACTCCTCAGCATATTAAAAAAAGAAAGAAAGAAAGCAAACAAACATATCTAAACAAAAACTTGTACATGAATATTCATAGTAATATTATTTATAATAATCTAAGTGTGAAATAATTCAAAGGTCCACCAACTGATGAAAGGATAAATAAAGCTAAGACCAGATGGGCACAAAAAGAATGATTATATTTACTTATGTACATCCATGAAAATCCATGAGGCCAGGACTTGGGATATAGCTCAGTGATACAACGCGTGCTTAGCATGTGCGAAGTCGTGGGTTCAATCCCCAGCACCAAGAAAAAAAAAGAAGAGAAGAAAGAGAGAGGGAGGGAGGGAAGAAGAAAGAAAGAAAAAAATCCATGAGGTCATAATGATATCAAAGAGGAAGCTATTTGTTACTATTTGATGAAGCCAATATTATAATCAACTCCCTATTTTAAAAATTAAAAATTTATTTTAAAAATTGAAATTGGTAATTAAAGGGGTAAAAAAGTAAGCATTTAGCCTGCCTTTCTAGTAAAACTATGTCAATATAGTCTAAGAAGCAGAGATGATGAGAGGAAAGTTCTATTTCACATTAAAATAAACACTAAATGAAGTATGGTGCTAGGCACAGTGGTGCATACGTGTAATCCCAGCAACTCAGTAGGTTGAGGCAGAAAGATCCAAGTTCAAGATCTGCCTGGGCAACTAAGAAGGCCCTAAGCAATTTAGTGATACCCCTGTCTTAAATTTTTAAAAATTTAAAAAGGGATTGGGAATGTAGCTCAGTTCTAAAATGCCCCTGAGTTCAATCCCCAGTACCAAAGCAAATAAACAAACAAAAAATCTTTAAAAAAAAAAAAAAAAAAGTTAGTTTAAATATATAATAATAAATCTCAAAAAAGTATGATAATGTTAATTTGGGTATATAGAAAAAGGTAACTATTTTGTAGAAAATGCCTGTTAAATTATTTAGATGGGAAGTCAAAAATTCTGAAATTATTTTAAAAATATGTCAGCATAAATAAAGCTAACTACATTATTATTATCATTAGTAGTAGTGGTAGTAGTAGTAGTAGTAGTTTTTAAATTCAGTTTTTGGGGGTTGCAGTTGTAGCTCAGTGGTAGAGTGCTTGCCCAGCATGTGAAAGGCCCGGGGTTTGATTCTTGTGTGTGTGTGGCGGGGTGAGTGGGAGGTTTCAAACTTTCAATTACATCTGAATAATGTTAAATGATACAGCTTTTAAGGAAATAATAGGCCTGGCATTAAAGGGGGAAAAAGAAAAGAAAAAGATCTAGTAGACCTTGACAAATTATTTCATTCAATAAAAACTAATTCAATGACTATGAACGACTGTTTTCTTCTCAAAGAGTTCAATAAAATCATTTGGTTTTGCAATGTCCAACAATGAAACATCATAATAATTATAAAAGTTCCTCAATCACTTTCAGGTCTTTTAGAATAATTTTCAGAATAGAAAAAGACTCAGTTATAGGTAAAATAACAAACTAAATAACACACACTTAGTAAGAATGACTAAAAACTTGAAAGATACCAAAGGAAGGCTAGGTCAATATTATGAGTATGTTAAGCTTATCTTTCATATGGGGAGTAAATAGATCTTGTTTAAAATTGATTAAATAAGAGACATACTATTTGAAGTTAAAATGGTAATCAATAGAAAAATCTAAACAACAAAATGTCAGTAATGGTTATCTCTCCGAGGAGTACAGAGCAAGGATTTTCACTTGTTCCCCATTGATTTAAAAAACAAATTTCCTGTTACATAATTTTATATATTAAAAGATCAAATTCCTACCATTCTATCACCTACTATTTTTCTCAGCACATATTTAGAGATATTTCATTTTTAGCATACACACAGCTATTTCACTTTTTTGTCAATTATATAGCATTCCATCATATAAATGTATTATAATTTATGTAACAAACCCCATCTATGAAAAGTGCTTTTATTAATTCATGCAACATATAATTACACTGAATTCCTTTCAGAGCAAATCCCATTCAGGGCATTGGAGATACTGAAATGAACAGAGCAAAGTCTTTGACCTGTGGAGCTTATATTCAAGAGTAACACCCAAAGAAGTACATTATAAGAATGTTAGCTGGTGATAAGACTAAGAAGAAAAACAAAGCAGAGCATTAGAGCTAAATATTGAGTGAGGCAGTCAGAGAGGAACTATTATTTCATACAGTCTAGTCAGACCGAGAATACTGAGGGAGTAGGAGGCATGCTAGTATCTAGGGCAACAATGTTACGGCAACAGTGAGTATAAAGGTCCTGAGGTAAGAGCATTGCTGGTAGCATCTGAAGAAAAAGGAGCCAGTGTGCATGAAACTTGATAGTTATGAGATGGGGACATGGAGGACAAACCACATAGGGGCATTATAAAGACCTTTTGGAAAGTAGAGTGGCAGGCTTGGACTTAAAGTTTCAATAAAATCACCATGTTTTGTCACAAAGAGATTAAAAGGAAATCAAGGAGTCCAGTTAGAAGGCCAAAATTTCAGAGGGAGACATGGTTTAGAATGGAATGGCAATAGTTGGTGGAGGTGAGGTGTGAGTAGAACTCTAAAAAATAATCTGAAGATTTATTGATAGCTTTGAATTTGGGGTATAATAAAAAGAGAAGATAAGAGAGAGATAAGAATGACTCCAAGGGTCTTAGTCTGAAAAAGAAGAGTTAACAATATTGAGATGTGGAATGCTGTGGGGAAAAAAGGTTTTGAGTGGAAGAACAGAATGGAGTTCAGTTTGGGATATGTTAAATTTGATATGCTTGTTAGAAAGAGGAGATGACTAGAAGCAACTGACTATGTAGGTCTGGAATTCAGGGCAGAGATCTGACTACAAGCATACACATAGGAACCCTCTGCACATAGGTGAAAGGCATTAGTAAACAAAGAAACGAGATGAAAATAAATAGAAAATGAAGGAGAATAAAAAGGAACACTGAGTCCTGGAACATGCCAATGTTGATAGGTTCTGGGAGAAGGGAACGATTCACCTATAGCTAATGAAAAATGCTGGATGAGTTCTGAGAAATGATCACTGGGTTTAGTAACATAGGGGTTACATCCTCTAAAACACTTATTGAGGAAAACTGCTTCCAATTTTTGTAATTACAAATATCTCAACAAAAATCTTTGTAGTTTCATGGGAATGGAATTTCTGGACCCAAGGATATATAAACTTAAAATGACTATTCTAATTAATTTCTAGTTAGCATAAAACTACCCATCTCCATTATTATCACCTACATTGAGAATTATCAAATTTATTAATCCTTGACAATTTGATAGTTCATGAACATTATCTTGTGTTATTTGGAATTCCTTTTATGGCCTAAGTTGAGCTCCCCGCCAGGATTAGTTGTTTGGCTTTTTCTTTCCTTTAAAGCTGCCTTTGCAGTGGTGACTTCAGTTCTGAAAGACACTCCTAATAATGGAATGATAGGGCAATGGAGCATTCTCTTATTTGATACCACCCTTATACCTGATGGGGCAGAGAAACCAAGGGAAATAATAACTTTTGATTCCAATTGCATTATAACTTGGCAAATTAAAATGAAGTCAAGCTTTTATAATACTTGAATTCTTGTTCTTCAAAAAGGGAGAAATAAGTAAGTTGAACTAACAGATAGCTGAATATTCCTGGAAAAAGTAAGTATATGAACACTCCAAAGGGGTGAGAAGACAAGTTTGTAGGAGCCCTGCCTACATATTGAACTCTGCTGACTTGAATTGGTTTATATAAGTGATGGCTGAAGTTTAGAAAATTTATTTTTAGTTATACAAATATTCTGGTTGTAAAGAATTAACCTGCATTTTCTTTGCTTTTTTTGGCAATCTAAGATTATACATTCCTTCCCACTCAGTGCTCAGACTTCAACAAAGCAGCCGCTTTCAGGAGCCTGAACCAGGAGGGACTGAATAAAAGCATAATAACTCTAGAAGGGATAGAGAATGAAAAATATCCCCATCTCTACTAAAATAATTAACCCAACTTCATCAAGAAGCCCCAGGACAATGACAAGCATCTGAATAAATTGAGCCTTAGTACTCACTGAAACGAAAGTAAAGCAGAGGCCAGCACCCCTTTGTGCTAACTGTTCTGTGTCAAGCCGAGGTTTTGCTAGCATCACTGACATGAGGGTTGGCAGAGCAGATTGTTCCTCTGGTGCCTCCTTTGCAGCACTGCCATCTAAACCATAGAGGGGCTGCTCTACTCGCCGCTGGAAAACATTAAAGAAAATACATAACATAGATGAGAAAGAAAATCTGATGGTGCCAAATTATTCAACAGGTTAAAATATAGTTAGAAAATATAAGATGAATGAATTAAAAGAAAACAAACTTCTCAGGAAAACAATTATAGCAAGGATAACAACATTATCACTGGATTATTACCTGTCTATAAACCTGACTTACTCAAATTTTGTTCAATGACATTTAAAAGGTTCTATGTTTATATAACTCTGAACTTGAAGATTACTTTGTAGAGACTGATAAATGAACTTCATAATACTCTATCCTATACAAGATACGTTATTTCCATCCTGTAGGTAAATAAAGAATTAAGACAACCGTCCCATGACTTTATAAACCGGACTTACTTCACTCTTCTCTTTTCTATACCTTATATGCATTCTCTTTTCTATACCCCTTACATGCAAAAAAACCTAAAATACATGCAAACAAAACAACCATAATACACTAAAATAATAATAAATCACAATTATGGTTTATTCCAGAAATATAAGAATGTTAAATAAAAGAAAATCTACTAATGTAATTCATTACAATGTTAGGGGAAGAAAATTATGATCTTCCCTTTGGATGTCAAAAAGATTTGCATATTTTTGGTCAACTTTTAAAAACCAAGGTACCCAATTTTAATACCTGAAAGAGTACTTTTTCAAAAATCAGTAGAAAATGTAATTAACGATGCTACACTAGAGACCCCTTTAACTAAAATTAGGAGCCAGGCAGGGGTGACACATTAATACATTCAACATTGTTACAGAAGTTTTAGCCAAGATAATGATGAGGGATAAAAATGGGGAATAGTCAAAAGTGTCATTTTTGGATGATATAAATATTCACAAAGAAAACCAAGCAAATCAACTGAAAAACTACTACAATAAACAAGCAAGTTCAGTAAGATGGCCACACACAAAATAAGTGTACAAAACCTAGTAGATTCCCCCAGATACCAACAATAATTAATTATAATCAGCGCATATAATGGAAGAAAAAGCAGATTCAAAATAGTTAAAAAAATTGGTCTGGGAGATGTGGTGCACACCTGTAATCCCAGCAATCTAAGAGGATGAGGCAGGAAGACTGCAACTTTAAGGCTAGCCTCAGCAAGCTAGCAAGGTCTAAGCAACTTAGCCTCAAAAGAAAAAAAGGAAAGGCTGGGGAGGTGACTCAGTGGTTAAATGCCCCTAGTACCAAAAAAAAGGAAAAGAAACAAAAAAAGGGCTGGGGATGCAACTCAGTGGTAGAGTGCTTGCCTGGCATGCATGAGGCCCTGAATTTGCAGCACAAATAAGTAAATAAACAAAATAAGTAAATAAATTTTAAAGATAAATAAAATAGCAGGAAAAAAATCTATAAAATACTAAAACAAGAAATATGAAGGACCACAAGAATGGGAAGTTATACTCCATGTAGGTATAATATGTCAAAAATACATTATACTGTCAAGTGTAGCTAAAAAGAACAAATAAAAACTTTGAAAAAAGAAATTAAAAGAGCAAAAGCAATTCTTTAAAACAAAAAATAAAAAAGAAGTATGAAGGACAGCCAGGCACACACAATATCACATGCCTGTAATCCCAGCAACTCAAGAGGTTGAGGCCAGCCTGGGCAATGTAGCATGACCCTGTCTCAAAATGAAAAATAAAAATGGGATGGGGATGTAGTTCAGTGGTAGAGCATTATAAGGTTCAATACCCAATCCTGGAGTGAGGGGAGGAGGAGGAAGAAATATGAAGAATATATGTGAAGAAGACTACATAGCTTTACAGATGAATATAAAAGATTATGTAAATTAAATGATGATTTCATATTCTGGAATTCAAATTGTCTAGATAGTAAATTTCACCAAAAACCAATATTTACAGGGTTTATTTATTTTGTTTTGGGCCTTTCAAAGAGGAAGTGTTATGGTAGAATAGTGGTCATATAGGTTCACTTTTCATGTTTGTTCTAGTGGAATTTAACAAATTAATTTTGAGATTCACTTGGAAAAGTGGTGAAAATTAGCCACATAATTTTTGATAAAGAATACCAGGGACACTAGACTAGATATCAAAACATACTATAAAGTTACATTAAGTGTAAGAACAGACAGACTGACCAGTGGCACAGAAAAGAGAATTCAGAAACAGATTCATATAATATGGATATGTTATTTGTGACTAGAGTACATTTCACATTATTGGGTATTTATTAAAAAGATGATGGGATATTTGTAAAGTATTAAGAAAAAAGGGTAAAGTAGATTCCTACCTTGTATCATATGTAAAATTCATAAGAAGAAAACATTAAAAAAAAGTACTTTTATACCTTTTTACTGGTAAAGGACATTTTAAACATGACATGAAAAATATAAAACATACTGGAATACCTATGAATAACACAAAACATTGACAAATTTGATTTCTTCAAATTTTTATACTCCTAAATGTTAAGTGTCAACATAAATTTATAAGACAAGATTACAAATAGGCAAAAAAATATTTATGATATAAATGATGAATTAGCAACAACCCCCTCTCCTCACCCCGTACTGGGGATCAAGCCCAGGACCTTGACATGCTAGGGAAGTGATCTACCACTGAGCTTATCAATCTTAATAACATGCTTCTATTCATCATTAAGGAAAAAAAATATTCCAATAGAGAAACAGGAAAAGGACCTAAACAAGTATTAAAAGAAAAACAGAAAAAGCCATTCCACATATGGAAACGTATTTAATATCACTAGTGAAGAAATGCAATTAAAATAAGGGATTTTTGTCACTGGCAGACATTATAATGACAAAATCAGTATTAGTGTATGCAGAAATTGGTAATCTTTTTTTTTTTTAATATTTATTTTCTAGTTTTCGGCAGATACAACATCTTTGTTTGTATGTGGTGCTGAGGATCGAACCTGGGCCGCATGCATGCCAGGCGCTACTGCTTGAGCCACATCCCCAGCCCGAAATTGGTAATCTTAAACTGCAATAACCTTCTAGCAATTTACATACTTGGGAATTGCAATCAAAGAAATTTATCTGAAGAAAGAAAGATGCATATATGTACAAAGACATTCTTTACAACACTATTCACAGAATACACAGATGTTTACAGGATATTAGTTAAATAAAATAATACAATGAAAATGAGGAAAATTATAATGTAAACATACATGTACACATCCAGAAAAGGTCTAGAAACACTTTGCCTCACTGGACTCTTCTTTAGAAACCATTCTTTTGGAAGGTGCCTTCTATTATACCACTTTGAAATAAGAATTGCCAAATTTTTATAGTCTACCTACACTTCATCAGGAAAAGCTATTTAACATTTTCACTGTAGGCAATAAAAGTAAAACAAGCCAATCATGTGATTCTGACAAAGGAGTTTAGCTTTTCAATCTACAAATAAAGTCTTCTTCAAGATTAATGTTTCTACTATACCAAAAGTAACAGCCTAAATTCAGGTTCCAGAATACTTATGATACCCATTTATCACAGTGTACGCTCACTACTTAGGTAAATGCATATATCTCTGAAGCCATGATACTAAAATAAATCATTCTGCCATATATTCAATGAATGTCTGCTAAAGTCTAAAAAATGTTAAAAATTTTCTGTAAATATAGGCAGGCTAAGATGTCTAAACCAATTTTCTTTTTGAAAGCAACTATAAAGAGAGGATAAAATATTTTTAAGGGACATTAAAAGCACTTAAGATTTGACAAAATATAAGGAATGTGCCAGGGAAACAAATCTAAGGAAAATTAGGAATAGCAGACAAGTAAAAAATCTCCAAAGTCAGATGTGGCCCTAAAGGCACCTGCAATTATTGAATTTCCATGTCTAGGGCACTGTGGTGTCCAGCAGACAGGTCTATCAACAAGAAACCCTTTCCAGTTCAAGCTGGGTGGGTCTCCAATACAGCTGGACTGCACTCTCAGTAAAAGGGTAAACCAGAGGAAAATTTCTGCCACCCTGGAGGTGTGCAAGAAGTTGCCTTGACAGTGCAGGGGTCAGGAGTTCCCCTGAAAAATGCTAAGACAATACAAATCAATATTTCTTAATGGTTGAGACAAAAAAGAAAATAAACCAATCAAACAAAATACAAGCCATAAATTCAGTAAAGTAGTATTAGAGAGGTAAAAATCTCTAAGCACTAGAAAGATGCCAATAAAAATTCTCCCTGTGAACCCACACTCATCCTAGACTTTGAAAAACCACACAAATAAATTTTCAAGAACAATGAGGAGCACACTGCTAGAAAACAAAACACAAAAGAAACAAAGTCATAAGCAATAACTAAGGAAAGCAAGAAAAAGCAGGAATGGATTCATAAATAATTCACATACCAGAATTATCTGACAGAGATTATAAAATAGCCACCTGTACAAGATTTAGAAAAAATAAAGAGGGTAACACAGTGCATGGTG